AACTGGTCTACTTCGGCATTCAATGTCCCTGCGATAGAGATCCTCCCACCATATCTTCACTTCGTCCCTCATCAATAACTTGTTTCAATTGTCAACAGCAGCGTCATCCCTATCGTTATCATCCTTGAGCTCATGGTCGAACAATTTCATTTCATCCAAGAGGTTGGACAGAAGCCTCTGCTCTGCGTCGTTGGGGACCAAAACACTCGTGATATCCTGATAGAAACAAAAAAAACCAACTTCAATTACTAATACAAATAGAACTACTAAAGCTAGTCGTACCACTATTACTAGAAATACTAGTACAAATACAACTACTAAAGCTAGTCGTACCACTATTACTAGAAATACTAGTACGAATGGAACTACTAAGACTAGTCGTACTAGGATTACTAGAAATACTAGTACGAATGGAACTTTTTACATACCTTTGTATCTCCAACCGTGCGGTACATGGCCTCCAGACTTAAATCAGCTGTCCCAGTCTTCTTGAACTGCTTTTTGCACATTCTGGGACACTCCTCACCGTATGATGTATCTGCTGGTTTTCGATACACAGCATCCAGAGTTAAAACAAAAAACCAAAATCTGAATGTTTCAAACACAGATAATACTAGTGAAGATACTACGTTTGGAAATCGTTAACGTAAGCGTGAAACTTAAAATATATATTTTTCTTTTTGTGTATAGAAAATTTACGTGAGTGAGATTTATAAGAAAACAGTAAAACACTACGTCTATTTTATTTTACATAAACACACAAAAATTTAGTGTTAGGGACATTTTGAAAATACCGTTTTTGGAAATCTGTTTTTTTTAATAAGAAAAAAATACTACTAAAGATTTTATATTTTTTCAAAAATACCAATTTATAATATATCTTATGAAAGTTTATAACATTTCTGCATTTTGTAACATGTCTTATGAGAGTTTATAACCTTATCAAATCGTATAAGACCTTATAAATATAGTTTCAAAAAGTACGTTATAAAACCTAATAAACATTTGTTATACATGCGTTATACGAGTTTAAATATATATATTTTATAAACAAAATTTTGAAAACTATAAACTATTTGTTTAAAAATGGAAAACAATTAAATAATTGCATTTCTGAAAATTTAAATCATTATAAGTGGTATTTTATTATATAAAAAAAATCAAGATGTTAACATAAGCGCGAAAGCAAACATCAAATCGATCGAACACCAAAGGTCCAAAACATTTTTAACAATTGTCAGTTTTTCATATTACAAATTTAATTAAAATGACATTTGATTCGAG